ATGGTTTGACTTTTTAAAAAATTATTATTCTAAATGTCTCCTGTTTGGTTTAAAACTCAGCTGTTGATTCCTACACCCAGGAAACCTTTCCTCCTCTTCTTCTGATAACCCTGAAAATCTCAATGGCTTTATTCCTCCATAATGTACTGTTATAACACTGAGTGCATTGTGTGATGGCTGCCTACTTTCCTCTGTGACTCCCACACTTTATCATGAGCTTCTGGATATCAGAAAGTAGTCATGAGCCTTCAGTCAACAAGAGACTGCATATCCAACAGTGGTCCCATGAGATTATAATGCCTTATTTTTACTGTACCTTTTCTATGTTTAGATAACACAGATATGTATCATTATGTTACAGGTGACTACAGTACTCAGTACAGTAACATGCTATACAGGTTTGTAGCCTAGGTGTGTAGTAGGCTATACCCACCTAGGTTTGTGTAAGAGCATTCTATGATGTTTGCACAACAAAATCATCCAACAACAAATTTCTCAGAATGTATCCCCATCATTAAGCAACATGTGACTATATATTTAACTCCTTCTTGGACACTTGGATCTGCCCTGCCCTTACAATGTGCCTTCCCTTTCCTACTATACATGATGAAAATGTTCAGGTTTCAACAACAAAATAAATGATACTTTCAAATAAACAGTAGAATCATTAATACTCAGAAAACAAAACAGTCAATAAAACTAACTCTGAGTGGGCCCTAATGATGGATGTAGCAGACAATAACTTCAAAGCCAGTGTGATAAATATATTCAAAGACCTAAAGAAAACCATCTTTAAAGGCTTAAAGGAACATATAGTGACAATGACCCAATAAATAGAAAATCTCAACAAAGACATAGAAAATATAATAATGAATCTAATAGAAATTATGGTACTGAAAAGTACAATAACAAATGAAAAACTTAAAAGATGGGTTCTCCAGCAGACTGCAATGTAAGAAGAAAGGACGAGTGAATTTGAAGAGAGAGCAAAAGAAATTATCCAATGTAAGGAACTGAAGGAAAAATATTGAAGAAAAATAGTCTTAAATACCAGTGAGACAACAACAGACATACCACTAATGGAAAACATAAGAGGAAAGTTAAAAAGGGAGAAGAAGGAATATTTGAAGAAATAATGGCCAAAAATTTAGGACTATAAGGGAACTTTTGGAATCTGGTGAAAAGAGTATACAAAAAAACCTACAGTTAACATCATATTAATGGTGAAAGACAGAATGCTTCTGCCCTGAAACTGCATACATGGCAAAGATGTCCACTTTCACTGTTCCTATTTAATACAGAGGAAGTCCTAGCCAAGTGCAGTATGGTAAGAAAAGGAAAGGAAATGAAAACATTGAAACAGCAGACATATCACTGCCCCTGTTCATAGAAAACGTGACTATACAAATATAATCCTAAGGAATCTATAAAAGAACTAGACAAGTGAGTTTAACAAAGTCACAAGGTACAAAGTCAACACACACACAAAAATCTTATCTCTAAATGAACAATCAGAAACTAAATTATGGGGCCGGCCCGGTGGCGCACTCGGTAGAGTGTGGCGCTTGAGAGCGTGGTGGCGCTCCCGCCGAGGGTTCGGATCCCATATAGAGACTGGTCCGCTCACTGGTTGAGCGCGGAGCAGGCATGATACCGAGGGTTGCGATCCCATTGCCGGTCACGAAAAAAAGACAAAAAGGAAAAAAAAAAAAAAAAGAAACTAAATTATGAACACAGGAATATTTACAAAGCTCCAAAAATATAATATACTACATACAGGATACATATGCTATAAACTAAAAAAACACTGATTTTTAAAAAGTAAAGAAAATCTAATTAAATGGAGAGACACCACATGTTCATAGGTTAGAAGACAACATAATAAAGATGCTTAATATCCCCTTACTGGCCAGCTGCCATAAATAAATAAACAAACAAATACAAGATGCCAAATTAACCCTCTTTGATTTATACATTTAATGCAATTTTAATAAAACTCTCAAATGAGTTTTTGTAGATATATATAGGCTTATTCTAAAATCTATATGGAAAGCAAAAGAACTACAATTGAAAAAACTATTTTGAAAAAGAAAAATAAACCTGGAAGAATCTGACTACTCAATTTTATGACTATAATCACTATATGACAGTAATTACTATAGTGTATTATCAGTGGAGTGATAGACACATCCATGGAATAAAATAAGTCAAGAAGTAGACACAAGTATGGATAACTGACTTTTACAAATGTGCAAAATCAATTTAATGGAAAAAGGACAGTATTTTCAATAAATAATGTTGGGTCAATTGGACAACCATAGGCAAAGAAGATGAACTTTAACCCTCACTCCATATAAAAAGATCAACTCAATATGGATCATAGTTCTTTTTTTTTTTTTTTTAAAGATGACCGGTAAGGGGATCTTAACCCTTGACTTGGTGTTGTCAGCACCACGCTCAGCCAGTGAGCCAACCGGCCATCCCTATATGGGATCCGAACCCGTGGCCTTGGTGTTATCAGCACCGCACTCTCCCGAGTGAGCCACGGGCTGGCCCTGGATCATAGTTCTAAATATTAAGAGCAAAAATACATTACTTTTGTAAAAACATATAGGAGAAAATAATCATGAACTTAAAGTAGGCCAGGAATACTTAAATATGACACCAAATCACAAGAAATAAAAGAAAAAATGGTAAGCTGGACTTCATCATAATTAAAATCTTTTCCTCTGAGGAAAAAAAGATAAGCCACATCTAGGAGGGCATTTTGCAAATGACGTGTCCAACAAAACTTTTATCCAATATATATAAAGAACTCTCTAAACCCCATACTAAGAAAACAAGCATTCTAATTAAAAAAATGGGCAAAAGATCTGAATAGACACTTCATCAAAGATATATGGATGGCAAACAAATACGTGAAAAGATGTTCAACATCAAAAGCCATTAAGGTAATGCAAATGAAGGCCACAATGATATACCACTACACACATAATAGAATGGCTAAAATAAAATACACTGACAATAGCAAGTACAAGAATGTGGAGCAACTGAACCTCTCCTATATTTCTGGTGGGAAATGGAACAGCCACTCTGGAAAATAGTTGGTCAGTTTCTTACAAATTTAAACATACACTTATCATATGACCCATGAATCATACTCCTCCGTAATTATCCTAGAGAAAAAATTGTGTTCACATAAAACCTTTGCACAAGAATGTTCACAGCAATTTTATTTTTAACAGTAAAAAAACTGGAAACCCTAATGTCTTTCAATGGGTGAACAGATAAAACTGTGTACATCTATATCATAGATTACGACTCCCTGATAAAAAATTAAAAAACTACTGATACACAGAACAACTTAAGTGGATCTTTGGGTAATTTGCTTAAAGTCAAATAGCCCATCTCAAAGGGTACATGCTGTATGATTCCATTTTTCTAACATTCTATAAATGACAAAATTATAGAGATAAACAGATCTGTGATTGCCAAGAATTAGTGTTAGGGAAAAGGTGTGACTATAAAGTAGTAGCATGAGGGAGTTTGTGTTGATGCAACAGTCTAAATCTTGACTGTGGTAGTGGTTACACGAACATATATGTGAGATAAATTTTCTTAAAACTACATATCAAAACCAAACAAAAATGAGTGGATGTTAAAACTGATGAGATCCAAATAAACTCTGTAGTTTAGTTAACAGTATTATAACAATTTCACTTTCCTGTATTGATAATGAACTATGGATACGTAAGGAGTTGTCTTTGGGAAAAGCTGGGTTAAGGGCATCTAGGAACTCTGGAATATTTTGGTAAGATTTCGTGAATCTAAACTTATTTCAAAATAAAATCTTATAAAAACATATTTAACTTTTTTAGTATTTGATGCTACTTGTAAACTTGGTTAAACACTTCCAAATATGTTGTTACACTTATGAATTGAATGTATCTAGTTTCACTTTGAAGTATTTCAAGTATTCTGAAATAACACAAATAAACTTAGAAGCACAGAATGCACGTTAATCATATAATGAAACAAGGCAAGCACAGAATGTTTCTTCATTATAGATAATATTAAAGTTTAATCCATGATGAGAGGAACTGCAACAACTTAAGATGTATAAAATCAGTGACAAGGCAACTACAAATATAGCTCAAGGCATCCTGTCCCCAAATGCACATGAGGTGTATTATCTGTTAAGGTTAGACTTCTGACAGAAAGCCCTAATTCATCATTTTTTCAAGGCTTCTTTCCTTCATTAAGTTCTCTGACTTTTTTTAAAGATCCTCCACATCAAATGCATTCATAAGTTTTAGTTCTGCATAATTTCCTGGCAAATAATAAGGCAAAAATATTTTACTATAAACCCTGCCATATTCATCATCATAAGACAGTTTTTATTTTATTTTTTTATTTTATTTTTTATTTTTTTTAAAGATGACCGGTAAGGGGATCCCAACCCTCGACTTGGTGTTGTCAGCACCACGCTCAGCCAGTGAGCGAACCGGCCATCCCTATATGGGATCCGAACCCGTGGCCTTGGTGTTATCAGCACCGCACTCTACCGAGTGAGCCACAGGCCGGCCCCCATGGACTCTTTTTTTAAAGATGACCAGTAAGGGGATCTTAATCCTTGACTTGGTGATGTCAGCACCACGGTCTCCCAAGTGAGCCAACTGGCCATCCCTATATAGGGATCTGAACCCGTGGCCTTGGTGTTATCAGCACCGCACTCTACCGAGTGAGCCACAGGCCGGCCCCCATGGACTCTTTTTTTAAAGATGACCAGTAAGGGGATCTTAATCCTTGACTTGGTGATGTCAGCACCACGGTCTCCCAAGTGAGCCAACTGGCCATCCCTATATAGGGATCTGAACCCGTGGCCTTGGTGTTATCAGCACCGCACTCTACCGAGTGAGCCACAGGCCGGCCCATAAGACAGTTTTAAAAAAAATTTTTTTTTTTTGGTTGTTGTTTTGTTTTGGTGGCTGGCCAGTATGGGGATCTGAACCCTTGACCTTGGTGTTGTCAACACTGCAGTCTAACCAACTGAGCAAACTGGCCAGCCTGGAAAGTATTTCTCTGGTGTAAACTCTCTCAATCTATCGAGGACTTATTTCTGAGCAAAGCCTTTCTCATCATTACATTTCTACCAACTTGTAGTTCATTTACAATCTATGATGATCACTTTTGATAGGGCCTGTCTTCCCACTGAAAGCTTTCCTAGTCTGTCACATTCATGGGATATTTCTCAGTATTCACTTTTTAGACATATAATGTCCTAAAATATCTTCATCAATGCTGATTATAACAGAGTTGTTTCATACGTTTTCTTTGACATACAACGTGAGGTAACTGATCGCTAACTATACAACCACATACTCTGCGTTCATTTAAGCCATTCTTTGCAGATACCGTATCCTGAGGGCCTACAACTGGCAAGAGGTTTTTCCAGAATGACTACCTGTGAATTCTCTTGTGTTTAATAAGGATTGACAGGTGGGCAAAATCTTTCCCACAATCACTACATCCATAGGGTCTCTCTCCTGTATGTTTTCTTTGATGAACATTGAGCCCTGACTTTGTAGTGAAGGCTTTCCCACATTCATTGCATTTATATGGTTTCTCTCCTGTGTGAATTCTCTGATGGGTAATGAGATCATTTTTGCGCAAAGAGAATTTTCCACACTCACTACACGCAAAGGAAGTCTTTCCTGTGTGAAATCTCTGATGTTGTATGAGGCACGTCTTCTTCCTGAAGGCTTTACCACATTCATTGCATTTATATGGTTTCTCTCCAGTATGAGTTTGCTGATGTATACCTAGAGTACTCTTCATGGTGAAGGCTTTTCCACATTCATTGCATATATATGGTTTTTCCCCAGTATGAATTCGCTGATGTGCAATGAGCATGCTTTTCCCAGTTAAGCCTTTGCCACATTCACTGCATATATAGGGTTTCTCTCCTGTATGAGTGCGCCGATGTACATTGAGATGGCTCTTCTCAGTGAAGCCTTTTCCACATTCACTGCATATATAAGGTTTCTCTCCTGTATGAGTTCGTTGATGCCCAATTAGCCGGATCTTTGCTGGAAAGCCTTTTCCACATTCACTGCACACATAGGGTTTCTCTCCTGTATGAGTTCGCTGATGTACAATCAGACGGCTCTTCACAGTGAAGCCTTTCCCACAATCATTGCATATATATGGCTTCTCTGCAGTGTGAGTTCGCTGATGTACAATGAGGTCACTTTTCATGGTGAAACCTTTTCGGCATTCAGTGCATATGTAGGGTTTCTCTCCTGTATGTGTTCGCTGATGTCTGATGAGAGGGCTCTTCAAGATGAAACCTTTTCCACATTCATTGCATATATAGGGTTTCTCTCCAGTATGAGTTCGCTGATGTACAATGAGACAGTGCTTCATTGAAAAGCCTTTTCCACATTCACTGCACATATATAATTTATCTTCTGTATGAGTTTGCTGATGTGTGATAAGACTGTTCTTCAAGGTGAAGCCTTTACCGCATTTACTGCATACATAGGGTTTCTCACCAGTATGAGTGCGATGATGTGCAATAAGACGCCTCTTCTCAATGAAACCTTTTCCACATTCACTACATATATAAGGTTTCTCTCCTGTATGAGTTTTCTGATGTGTAGTGAGACTGAACTTTGTAGAGAAGGCTTTCCCACATACACTGCACCCATGAGGTTTCTCTCCTGTATGAGTTCGCTGATGATAAGTGAGCCGACACTTTTTGATGAAGGCTTTCCCACATTCACTACACGTGTAAGGCTTCTCTCCCATATGAGTTTTATGATGAATATTGAACTGTGATTTCTTGAGGAAGATTTTATCACATTCAGTGCATTCATAATGTTTCAGTCCTGTATGAGTTCTCTGATGTTCCATTAGCCTGGATTTTCTGGAGAATGCTTTACCACACATACTGCATCCATGAGGTTTTTCTCCAGTATGAACTTTTTGATGATCAGTGAATTGAGACCTCTTGATGAAGGCTTTCCCACATTCATTGCACACATGGGCTTTCTCTATCTTGTGCATTTTCCATTGTTTAATGGCCTGGGACTTATTGCTGATGGGTTTTGTACTTATAGGGAATTTAATTTCAGTATAAAATTGTTCATGGTTAGCATGAAGGGATTTTCCATCTCCATTAAACTCAGCAGAGTTCTTTAGGTTACAGCTTCTGTTCTGGTTTTCAAAACTTAAATTTGATTCTAAGGGTTTTTTACGTAAGGCAAACGTATCATGATTTTGCTCTAATGGGAAATGACCTTTGCTCTGATTAACAATATTTCCAAACACATTATGTTCATAGCATTGTTCTGTACTCTTCTGAATGTTTTGATTTTGCAAGTGATGCTGCAGAGGATCATTAACTTTCCCAATTTCTAGGAAAGAAGAGAACAGTGAATCATTCCATCATCTTGATTAAGAGTAAAATTGTTTAAAAAATACATTGGTGTAAACTGACTTTTTAATGACAACTCTATAATCAGTATAAAAGAAATTCCATGTATAAATATCTCTCATCTCTTACACATTGGTAAAACACAATAATAGAAACACATCAAAAGGTAAAAGCAGTAAGTGTACAGACAAGGCTAAATCATTCACAATGTATATATATTTGGCTGCCTTCTAAATAGGTCTTTACAAAATGTATACATAATCAAATATAAACAGGTCACTTTTAGCAGGGAACCCCAGAATATGGCAGGACACCAGATCACAGAAGTTAGAGAAAAAAGACCAAACAGGTTGATCCCAAGTGATAGGAACTGCACTCATTTATTCTACAAATATTTGTTGAATGATGAGTGACATTTTTGTGTAAGGTAACTGAACCGTGTCTGGCATAGAGACACATATTCCTTATTTTTACAGAGATTTAAAGAAAGAAAAGTCAAAGTTCACTAATGGGTTCAATAGGAGGAGCAAGAAGAGTGTTAATAAAAGTGAGGACTCAAAGATTATTCGGAAAATTATATGGCTTCAGCCACCAGGTAGGGGGAAAATCCTTACAATGAAATAATAAATATTACTAAAGTCTGGAATGAAGGGAAAATCTAGCATGCATTGTAAAACATATAAAGTTTAAAATGATTATTGCATATCCAAGTACAGAAGAAACTGGTTGAATATACAAATCTTGAAAACGTTCTTATCTGGAAATAGCAATGTGGATATCATCAACATATAAAATTATTCCAAAAAAGAGGACTGCACAAGATTGTATTTGCAAATGTGGAAAAAAGGAAGGTGAAGACACAGGGCCAAGAACGTGTTATTGCAACATGTAGAGCTTTGGAATTTGTTAAGCCCACCAAAATAAATCAAACACTGACTGTTGTGATCAGGTACACATCTAGAGACCCAGATGTATAGAACAAATACACCAGAATAGCAAATAAAATTGTAAGATCCTCCTGAAAATTGCTGAGAGTAGATTTTAAGTGTTCTTGCCACAAAAAAATGATAAGAATGTAAGGTAATGTATATGTTAATTAGCTCAATTTAGTCATTCCACATGTATACATATTTCAAAATAACATGTTGCACACAATAAACACATATAATTTTCATTTGTCAGTTAACAAGTAATAATGAATTTTTTAAAAAGAAAGTGAGATCCTCAGCGTTTGATTACAAGGTAAGTGTCATAGGCTACTGAGTGGTTATCATATTCTATAAACTTGCCATTCTTCATTCTACAGAACAACATTAAACTAATTTTCCCAAAGCACCAATCTCAAATTTAGGAGAAAGATCCTATACTTAAGACTCCAACTGATGGTCTAGATGGGTCATACTCTCTTATATTCCTATAGAAAAAGGGAGGAATGATATGCATGCAGTTAAGTGTTTAATCTTTAGGCTTGGAGTATTCCATCCCTGCACATCCCAAAGAAAGAAGTGGTCTTGACTGGCTCCTGCAAGATAACCTCTGACTCCCTGGAATATTCTGCCTGACAAAAGAGTGTCTTTTCATGCCCGAGGCCTTACCAGATAGTATATGCCAGCCTTGTGATTTATGGTTGATTCCTGTTCTTGTAAGCCTGAGGTTTTGGGCCACACTGTATCATTTTGACTTGAGGGGAAGGGGTGAGGGGAGGGGAGAGACACCAGGCTTGGGTGAGCTTCCCTGTTTGGCAACACTTCACAAATGCTGTCAAACATCCTTGTTGAAAAAATTCAGCACTGTTTGTACAACTCCACCAGTAGAGGACAACTGAAAGCTTGTACCTAGTTTCCCCTGGATTCTTCCCTACATACCTTTTATCTTTGATAATTTTAATTTGTATCATTTCACTGTCACAAACTGTAAGCATGACTATAACAGTTCCCTCCTCTCCCCACTAATGTCTACCTTCCTCATGGTAAGCAAAGTAATCGATTTAAAAAATTAGTTATATCATGCCACTCTTTTACTCAAAACTCCCTACTGTTTTTTTTAGCTCATCTGGAATGAAATCAGATGAGCTAAAATGCCCCAAGATCTAGAATGCCCTTGATAGGCAATATGTAACCTATGTACCAGAAGGTCCAGCTCCATTGTCTTTATCTCTAGTCACTTTCCCTTTTGGTCACTCTACTCTATCCCTACAAGCTTCCTAAAAGTTCCTCAACACACTCCAGATTCATTTCTCTGAACTTGCCATCATCTCACATCTGGAACACTCCTGACCCAGGAAGCCTACTCACATCCGTTACCTATCTGCTCAAATGCACCTTATTAAAGAACCATTCCCACCCTTCAAGCAGAGTGCCAAGTCCCAACACCTCCTGTTTCACTAGCTGCTTTAATTTTCCTCATAGCAATTTTTACCCCAAGACATGTTGTTTACATATTTGCTTATTACTGGTTATACAAGGGGTCTTCAAAAGCTTCTTGGAAAGATTTGTATTATCTTTCAATTCCATTTTTCCACAAACTAATTTTTTTTTTTCCTTTTTTTGTCTTTTTTCGTGTCCGGCAACAGATCGCAACCCTCAGTGTCGCGCCCATACCGGACCGGACCGGCAACAGGATCGCAACCCTCGGTGTTGCATCCGCACCTCGCTCAGCCAGTGAGCGGGAACCAGTCTGTATGTGGGATCCGAACCCTCGGCGGGAGCACTGCTGCACTCCAAGCGGCACACTGTAGCAGTGCGCCACCCGGCCAGCCCCCCACAAACTAATTTTTAAAGTACCTGCATATGGTTACTTCCACTGAGAATGAAAGAAATGTGAAGAATAGGGACAAAGTATACTGTTTTTTTGTACTACAAATACTTAGCTTCAAATATAGTAGGCTATCAAAACATAAGTTTTAAAGGAATAAACCAAGGAGGCAATTACATGTATGAAGCACACTGAAGTGTGTTTCAGAAGAGGACAGAAACTCTTTATAATCAAGATGATATCATATTACAGAGATCACCAAAAGAGAAATAGCAATCGCATATGACATATGACAGGGAACATGAGTAACTGGGATGAGCCATTATCAGAATGACAGAAAAAATAATCAATTGCACTTCTATATTCTAGCAGTAAATAATCTGAAAATGCAATTGAGAAAACAATTCCATTAACTACAGAATCAAAAAGAAAACTATACTTAGGAATAAACTTAACAAAATGCCAAACTTATATTCTGAAAGCTACAAAACATTGTTGAAAGACATTAAAGACCTAACTAGATATAAAAATGTCCAATGTTCATGGATCAGAACATTTAATATAACTAGAACAGTAATGTTCCCCAAATTGCTATACAGACTCAGTGTAATCCCTATCAAAATCCCAGCTGGCTTTTATGTTTAAAAAAAAAAAAAAAAAAAAAAGGTGATTCTAAAATTCACATGCAAATGCAAAGGACCCAGAATAGACAAAACAATCTATATATAATGTTCCAAAAACTGACTATGGAACAATCACTGGAACATCAAAATATACTGTGAATCAATAATTTTGGGACATATGTGGTGATGGTTACAAAACTAGGTAAATATATTAAAAAGCTGAACTGTACACTTTAAGTGAGCAAATCATGTGGTATGTGGCTATCTCAGCACTGCTAAAAGCTATGATGAGAACACAAAGCTTTAGGGACAGGACTGCAGTGGCAACACCTGAGATGAACCAAAGAAACTTCAGAATTAGCAAAACTAAGAAGAAAGTAATTTTTAGCACACATAATTTCTGACCTGGTTTGGGCTAGAAATAATATAGGATACAGTTAATCAACCGAAACACTAGAGAATTCTTAAGAAGACAGCTCAGCATGTAGGGAACATTCAAGGTAATGCCAGGATGAATAGAATGTGCAGTATTGAAGGAGAACCTGAACTTAAACAAGGAAGCCAAAGTATTTTTCTTGGATGGAAGATGATTCATTTCCTCACACACAAAGTGGGAATTCATTGGCCAGTTTCCATGAAGATGAGGAAACACATAAGAATAAAGTATACCTTAGATAATATTAAGGGAGAAGTCAGTTTGACAGTCTCTTCCACAGAACAAAAAAAGGTTAACTCATACAAATGAAAGAAACTTTTAAGAGTTATGAAAACAAAAGAAAATGAAAAGATAATTATGAAAACCTCAGAATGGGGAGAAAAAGAAGCTAAAGAATCACATAAATGCTCAATCAGAGACCAGGTTATCAGCATCCAAGGTGGGGTTGGATGTTATGAAGGAAAATCATTATTTCCTAAAAGGACAGGAAGGTGCAGTAGTTAAGAAAACAGTGATGAGTTCAAAGTTCTCACGTGGTGCTGATAATACCAAGGTTAAGTGTTTGGATCCCTGGGACTGGCCATCTGCCAAAAACAAACAAACAAAAAAACAAAGTTCTCTCTTTCCAGAGAGGTCTGGAAAGTGGAATTTCATAGCAAGAGAGGTGGTAATACAGGCAGAGATAATTTGACAGTGGATGAAGAAAAAAATTTGAAAATCCTAGGAAGAAGATAATTATGCAAACAAACAAAACAAGATGTATACAAAATAAACATGGAAGTGATCTTGGAAGAGAAAAGAAAGGTATATTTTCCTCTATACTCCTACAAAGAAAAACAGTTCTTACATGGGAAGGAGACATGGACAGGCTGTACTTGTGTCCTCAGACACCCTCATAGCTTTGATGCCTGTCCTGAATGAGCAGAATATGACTTCTGTGGCTGCCTGGATTACTGGTTCTTGTGGGGTACTGAATAAGCAAGCTGACAAAGTCCTTGCTATTCTAGGGAAGCCAGCAAGGCTGGCATCCCTTTTGCCTACTTCCTCCTTCTCCCTCCCTTTGAGGTCTGACCTTTTATTGAACCCAGGACCCTGGAAGCTTTGTAAATGAGAAACTTATGTTCTGATTTTGTTGATAAGTAGTTAGCTATGAATCTTCAAGTGTTGTGGCAGCTGAAAATGTTCTATAATAGTTTGGTACCAGATATAACTGATTTAATAAGCATGATTTGTTATTTTCACTGGCTTATAAAAGGAACCAAAAAATAAACTGAGATGCCTTGCATATCAGCAGCCTGCAGGGTACTCCTGACCCCATAAAATAAATCATGTCTTTCTTCATTTCCCACCATCTCCCCTTGGGGTACTGGTTGACAACAGGTTCTCTCACTCACCTGAACAGATTTGACTATGGATTTCATCTTCTATTGTCCATGGTTCTTCTCCTTGTTCCAACTTGGAGAGTGTATCTGGTTTGCTGTCTTGACACCCTGTTTATGGGAAATGATAGAAGATTTAGACATATCAAATTGGACTAGAGGGGTCAGTGACTGGCTGGCAGTGCTGCAGGTTAGGAGGAGTGGCTGGAGCTTCCTCTAACATATAATATAAATCCTTTTGGAGAGCTGCCAGGCCCACATGCCCCAAGTCAGTCACGCAGAAACAGGCAGGCATTGCAGGACCCCCAGCCCAGTCCACTGCCTGCCTCCCAGAGAGGCCTGAGAGCCACCGGGCCCACAAACCCCAACTCAGCCACACTGGAAAAGGCAGGCACCACAAGACCCCCGGAACAAGCCAGTGCCCGCTGCCCAGAGAGGCCTGAGAGCTGCCAGACCCACATGCTCTGAGTCAGCCATGCTGGAAAAGGCAGGCGCCACAGGACCACCAGCCCAGGCCAGTACCTGCCACTCAGAAGCCTGACAAATGCCAGGCCCACACACCCCAAGTCAGCCATGCTGGAACAGGCGGACACTGCAGGACCCCCAACCCAGGCTGGTGCCCACTGCCCAGAGAGCCCTGAGAGACACCAGGACCACATGCCCCAAGTCACCTGGGTCAGAACAGGCAGGCACCACAAGACCCCCAGCCCAGGCTAGTTCTTGCTGCCCAGAATTGGCAGTCCCTTCAGGATCCAGGCCAGACATCAGGGTGGAATGAATGGACCATGATACGCCCTGCCACAATGACTAAACACCAACGGAAAGATAACAGAAATATGAAAAATCAAGAAAGTACATCACCATCAAAGGAAAGTAATAACTCTCAAGCTCAAGATCCTATAGAACAGGAAGTCCTTGAAATGACTGACAAGGAATTTAGAGCAACAATTCTAAGAAAACTAAATGAGATACAAGAAAACTCAGACAACGCAATGAAATGAGAAAAAATATACAGGATCTGAAAAAAGAAATGTACAAAGAAATCAATACCCTGAAAAAGAATGTAGCAGAGCTTGTGGAGCTGAAGAATTCATCCAACAAAATAAAAAACACAACAGAGAGTCTAACCAGCAGGCTAGAACAAGCAGAAGAGAGAATTTCTGACCTTGAATCAGGCTGTTTGAATTAACACAGGCAGAGCAGGAAAAAGAAAAAAGAATTTTAAAAATTGAAGAAAATCTAAGAGAAGTAACAGACAACCTTAAGCTCTCAAATATCTGAATCATGGGTATTCCAGAAGGGGAGGAAAAAGGAAATGGCATTGAAAACGTATTCAACAAAATAATAGCAGAAAACATCCCAGGTATAGGAAAAGTCACACATCTTCAGATTTAGGAGGCCCAAAGATCACCAAACATATTTAACCCAAAAAGGTACTCTCCAAGACATGTTATAGTCACACTGGCAAAACTCAAAGACAAAGAGAGAATCTTAAAAGCTGCAAGAAAGAAGGGCTGGCCCGTGGCTCACTCGGGAGAGTGTGGTGCTGATAACACCAAGGCCACGGGTTCAGATCCTATATAGGGATGACCGGTTGGCTCACTGGCTGAGCGTGACAACACCAAGTCAAGGGTTAAGAACCCCTTACCGGTCATCTTTAAAAAAAAAAAAAAAAAGCTGCAAGAGAGAAGTGGCAAGTCACCTATAAGGGAGCCCCAATCAGACTAACATCAGGCTTTTCATCAGAAACCCTAAAAGCCAGAAAAGAATGGGATGATATATTCAAAATACTAAAGGACAAAAATTGCCAGCCAAGAATACTTTACCCAGCAAGGCTATCCTTCTGAAATGAAGGACAAATAGTATATTTCTCAGACAAACAAAAACTGCAGGAGTTCACCACCACACAACCAGCCTTACAAGAAATTCTCAAGGAAGTACTGGGTTTGATATTCGAAAAACAGCCATCACTGTCATGAATACTCAAGAAAGAACAAAACCTACCAGTAAAACAAAAATGCTAACAATAGAGAAAAAGTAGTTTATCTACCACCCCAAGAAAGCATCAAATACAGAAGATAAACAGAAAATCAGAAAGGAACAAAGGATACTTAAGACAGCTAAACAGAAAGCAATGAAATGCTAGGAGTAAATAAACACCTTTCAATAATAACTCTAAATATAAAGAGATTAAATACCCAACTCAAAAGACACAGACTGAATGACTGGATTAAAAAAAGGGACCCAACAATATGCTGCCTTCGAGAGACTCACCTCACCTGTAAAGACACACATAGACTAAGAGTGAAAGAATGGAACAAGATATACCATGCAAATAGAAATGAAAAATAAGCTGGAGTAGCTATTCTCATATCAGATAAAATAGACTTTAAAGCAAAAACCATAAAAAGAGATAAAAAAAAGGCCACTATATAATGATAATCATATAATCCATCAAGAAGACACAACAATAATAAATACATATGCACCCAATGTCAGAGCAGCCAGATTTATACAGCAAACACTATTAGATCTAAAGAATGAGATAGATATTAACACCATAATAGCAGGGGACCTGAACACCCCACTCTCAACATTGGACAGATCATCTAGGCAAAAAATCAATAGAGAAACACAAGATCTAACACTTTAGACCAACTGGACTGGCAGATAACCATAGAACATTCCATCTAACAACCTCAGAATATTCATTCTTCTCATCAGCTCATGGAACATTCTCCAAGACAGACCACATGTTAGCTCACAAAGCAAGTCTCAATAAATTCAAAAAATTGGAATCATTCCGTGTATTTTTTCAGATCACAATGGATTAAAATTAGAAATAAATAACAAATGAAACTCTGGAAACTATAAAAAAAACGTGGAAATTAAAAAACATTCTACTTAATGACATATGGGTCCAAGAAGAAATTAAACAGGAAATCAAAAAAATTCTTGAAACTAATGAAAATAATGACACATCATACCAAAACCTATGGGATACTGCAAAAGCCATACAAAGGGGTAAATTTATCTCATTAAATGCTTACTTCAGAAGAATAGAAAGATGGCAAATAAACCAACTAACACTTCACCTTAAAGAAGTAGAAAAACAAGAACAATCCAAACCCAAAGTTAGCAGATGGAAAGAAATAATTAAAATCAAAGCAGAACTAAATGAAATAGGAACCCCAAAAATGATACAAAAGATCAATGAAACAAAAAGTTGGCTTTTTGAAAAGATACATAAAATTGACAAACCTTTAGCAAGGCTAACTATGAAAAGAACAGGAACTAGAAAAGGATGCCCACTCTCACCACTCCTATTCAACATAGTGTTGGAAGTACTAGCCAGAGCAATCAGAGGGAAGGAAATAAAGCGCATCCAGATTGAAAAAGATGAAGTCAAACTGTCCCTGTTTGAGGATGATATGATCCTATATATTGAACAGCCTAAAGCCTCTACAAAAATGCTCTTAGAGTTGATAAATGATTTCAGCAAAGTTGCAGGATACAAAATCAACACACAAATATCAGTAGCATTTCTATACTCCAACAGTGAACATGCAGAAAAAGAAATCAAGAAAGCTAGCCCATTTATAATAGCCACCAAAAAATAAAATACTTAGGAATAAAGTTAACCAAGGATGTGAAAAATCTCTATGAAAAGAACTACAAACCACTGTCGAGAGAAATTAAAGAGGATGCAAGAAGATGGAAGGATATCCCATGCTCTTGGGTTAGAAGAATTAACATTGTGAAAATGTCCATATTACCCAAAGTGATCTACAGATTTAATGCAATCCTCATCAAAATTCCAATGACATTTTTCTCAGAAATGGAAAAATCTATCCAGACATTTATATGGAATAACAAAAGACCACATATAGCCAAAGCAATCCTGAGCAAAAAAAATAAATAAATCTGGAGGCATAACACGACCTTACTTTAAACTATATTACAAAACTATAATAACCAAAGAAGCATGTGTAATGTATTGAATTATATCCCCCCAAAACTCCCTGAAGCTTGAATTGTGACCCCCAAGTTTTATGTATTAGAAACTTAGCTCCCACTGTGACTGTTAAGAGGGTGGGAAATCCTATTATGGTAACTGAAAGGTGGAGCCTTGAAGAGGTTATTGGGTTGTAGGACCATGCAGGAGTGAATGGATTAAAAACAGTGGTCAGCGGTATGGTTCTGAGGTCTTTAAAAGGAGAGGAATGTCTATCTCTTTCTGCTCTCTCTGCTTCCACCATCTTGCAATGTGAGACCTCTGGGTCAATGTTGCCACCACCAGATGCACTTTGAACTTCCCATCCTCAGAAACTGTAAGCAATAAATTTTGTTTCTTTATAAATGACCCAGTTTCAGGTATTCTGTTATAAGCAACAAAAACAGAATACAGCACAGCATAAAAACAGACACACGGATCAATGGAATAGAATAGAGAACACAGAAACCCATACACCTACAGCCGTCTGATCTTTGACAAAGGCACCAAGCCTTTAAACTGGGGAAGAGACTACCTCTTCAGCAAATGGTGCTGAGAAAATTGGATATTCATATGTAGGAGAATGAAACTAGACCCATACCCCTCTCCATATACCAAAATCAACTCAAAATGGATTAAAGAATTAGATATACATCCTGAAACAATAAAACTCCTTACAGAAAACATAGGGGAAAGACTCCAGGAAGTAGGAGTGGGTACAGACTTCAGGAACATGACCCCAAAAGCCTAGACAACTAAAGGAAAAATAAACAAATGGTATTATATCAAACTAAAAAGCTTCTGCACAGGAAAAGAAACAATCAACAGAGTGAAAAGACAACAGAGTGGGAGAAAGTATTTGCAAAATATACATCTGACAAGGGATTAATATCCAGAATATACAAGGAACTCAAACAACTTTACAGTGAAAAAACAAACAACTCAACTAAAAAATGGGCAAAGGAGTTGAATAGGAATTTCTCAAAGGAAGATATACGAATGGCCAACAGACACATGAAAAAATGCTCAACCTCACTCAGCATTCAGGAAATGAAAATCAAAACCACGTTGAGATACCATCTCACTCCAGTCAGGATGGCTAATATCCAAAAACGTATTAGCTGAGATATAACTGAGAATGATAAATGCTGGCAAGGTTATATCAAACTAAAAAGCTTCTGCACAGGAAAAGAAACAATCAACAGAGTGAAAAGACAACATAGTGGGAGAAAATATTTGCAAAATACATATCTGACAAGGGATTAATATCCAGAATATACAAGGAACTCAAACAACTTTACAGTGAAAAAACAAACAACTCAATTAAAAAATGGGCAAAGGAGCTGAATAGGAATTTCTCAAAGGAAGATATACAAATAGCCAACAGACACATGAAAAAATGCTCAACATCACTCAGCATTCGGGAAATTTAAATCAAAACCACTTTGAGATACCATCTCACTCCAGTCAGGATGGCTAATATCCAAAAATGTATTAGCTGAGATATAACTGAGAATGATAAATGCTGGCAAGGTTTTAGAGAAAAAGGAACTCTCATACACTGTTGGTGGGACTGCAAAATGGTGTAGCCTTTATGGAAAATGGTATGGAGGGTCCTCAAACAATTACAGATAAATCTACCACATTACCCAGCTATTCTACTGCTGGGAATATACCCAGAGGAACGGAAGTCATCATGCTGAAGGGATACCTGTACTCCAATATGTATTGCAGCACTATTTACATAGCCAAGAGTTGGAACCAGCCTAAATGTCCATTATGAGATGAGTGGATAAGGAAACTGTGGTATAGCTACACAATGGAGTTCTACTATGTTATAAAAAAAAATTCACAACAACATGGATGGACTTAAAATATTAAGTGAAACAAGTCAGGCACAGAAAGAGAAATACCACATGTTCTCATTTATTTGAGGGAACTAAAAATAAATAAATAAATAAACAATATACACAGAAACAAATGGGGAAGAAGACACAACAAAAAATTCCTTGAGCTTGTTAAGAAAAGTGAACAGATATGATGTAGTTGTGGGGGGTGGGGAAGAGGAACAGGTAATGGGTCATGAAAATCAACTACAATGTATACTGAGAAGTTAAAATAAATAAATAATGCCACAACCATAAAAATTAATTAATTAATTAATTAATTAAAATAAATCCTTTTGATTTAACAACAACAAAAAAAACCCAAATGGGCTGGAGTATGTCAAGAAGGGAGAATGTTACATTTCAGGGACTAAACAAATTTCACATCTGTAACATCAGGCTTTCTCTCAGGAGAGGGTAGATTATACACTCTTGTGTGGGTCAAGAGGGATCTGAGAATCTACCACTTCAGAGCATTGCAGGTATTCTAAAGAGTTAAGCAGCTAAGAAAGAAAGGCCACTGACTGGATGCTCTCTGAGTGACACTGGGCAGCTGTCCTCACCCAGTGATACCAGGTTTCTGTAGTTTTCCAACATTACATCCCGGTACAGGTCCTTCTGAGCAGGGGCCAGGAGCTGCCACTCCTCCCAGGTGAACTCCACAGCCACATCCTTCAGTGTCAACAATTCCTGTAATAACAAAGTCCTATTTAATGAAGTGATATTCTTTTGGTGATATGGAAAGAATATAAAGGAAATTATCCTGCTAATTTTTGCCACATAGGAAATTGGTGGTTTTTTCCTTAATACATTGTAATAGAATAAAAATCCTAGTAAAATAGTCTGTAAATGTGCAGTCACCCATTCATTGAACAAAGGTAAAAATTCAATAAAGTTTCTGTAATATATAGTCATTAAATCCTCTTGCTAATGTAGGAACATCTGCAGCATATAGCATTTATTTGCCAATACCAAGCTGTACGCTAATTATAAGTAGATGAAAAATACAGATTCTTAAATTCACTGTGAGCCTTCAATCCAATATCAAAATTAGTAGTGAAGAGACCACAGATACTAGTATCACATAACAATACATACTAAATAACTATGGTTAATATATTGAATAAAATAAAAGAGAGTGTATAAAGCACAAGAGATTATTAGCAAAGTTGGAAAAAAGTTATTCTTAATAGAATATATATATATATGTATAGATACACAGATCCATGTATATACACAGGCAACTGCATATGTATGTGTACACATTAGTAAACAGAGTTAATACCATATTAGAAACAATAAAGAAACTGTTGTAGTAAATCTGCTTTTGCATTTATGAGAAGGCTGCAGTTAAAGGCACCATCTACCACATCACCTCTATGAAGTACCATCAGAGGTCTATGTGAGTCTCACAATTATATGCAACAAAACATTAATATCCCTCAAGAAACTGGCCTGCTTTCTCACAATTGATGTAAAGTATCGTGATTCTCTTGTATGGCTGTCAGGGATATCAGATGCAAGTTGATGGCTAATGTCACCCACAGGTCCTGCACAATCACTTATTATGTCTCAACATAATTCACATAGTATGAATTCTATGAACAATATATTCCTGATCCTACTTTGCCTAGAATTCTCCAGATCCTACTATTCTTAATTTACATTTTTCTCTTTAATTGCACTGATTTGTACAAGCTTCTATAAACTCACTGGGGAGTAAAGGAAAGAATAAACAAACCAACAGTCACCTGGGTCTGCACCATTTTCCTCTGAATCTGGGAAATGGCTGCTAACTGGGATGCTCTGTCTTTGCCTCTTCTGGATCAACTCTAAATTTCTGTTCAAAAAGTTCAGTCTCCAGTCAAGGGTGTCCCCAGAAATAATGACACCCAAGTCTTGGAATCTCCTCCTCCTTCCTTCACTTGATTTCTCTTGTTCTCAGCACCTGTGGGCTGAAGAACAAATTACTCTGAGTGATACATTCTTTTTAGGCCTGGAGTTGTCACTGTTGCTGTATACTCCCCTTAAATCAAGGCCCCAAAATATCTATCTGTCCTATTTTTTATCCACTTCTCAATACCCTGTAAATTATAAGTATATATATCTATAAAGGATATGCAATAAAACTATCCTTGAGAAATAATAAAACTGAAATAAAGACATCTTCAGAAAAACCAAAGAGAATTCATCAGAAGACCTGTATTAGAGAAAATGCTAATGAGTATTCTTCAACAAAAGAAGAGAAGCAGAAGGTATGAAGAGGAACAAAACTGGTAAGTGAGATGTCAAGTACCGACTGGAAAAATAATAATGATAATAATATTACAAAAGGTTTTAATACATAAAGATCTAAAATATACCATGAACATATAAATTAGGAAGATTATGAGTGAAAAAGTATTCTAAGAAAGCTGCACAACAGGAGAAGAATATAAAAGTACTAATTACCATACATTGACAAATAAAGTTTGTATGTTATTTGTAATCTCTAGTGTCAGCAATAAAACTAATAATTTTTTAGAACATACCTCATTTCCAGGTTAAAAGAGAGGCCCATGATTTCTTTTTTTTTTTTTTTTTTTCCTTTTTTGTCTTTTTTTACTGACCGGCAACGGGATCGTAACCCTCAGTGTTGCGCCCGCACCTCGCTCAACCAGTGAGCGGGAACCGGTCTCCACATGGGATCCGAACCCTCGGCAGGAGCGCCGCCGCGCTTCCAAGCGGCGCACTCTCCAGCGCACCACCTAGCCGGCCCGAGGCCCATGATTTCTGTGGCAACTATTCAACTCTACTGTTGAAGCTCAAAAACAACCATATACAAGGGCCAGCCCGTGGCTCACTCGGTAGAGTGCGGTGCTGATAACACCAAGGCCATGGGTTCGGATCCCTATATAGGGATGGCCGGTTCACTCACTGGCTGAGCGTGGTGCTGACAACACCAAGCCAAGGGTTGAGATCCCCTTACCGGTCATCTTTAAAAAAAAAAAAAAACAACCATATACAAAATATAAACAAATAGGTGTACCTGGGTTCCAATAAAACTTTAGTAACAAAACCAGGCACTGGACCAACCTTGGTTGCCCAACCTTGAATTAGCACAGAAAAGCCATATGATCATGTAAATCAAGGGTCAGTAACATAGCATCCAGGGCCTGGACCACCTGTTTTGTAAATAAACTTCTGTGGGAAAACTGCCAGATACATTACTTGACTTACTGTCTCAGTCTGTTTTCACATTACAATGGCAGAGTTGAGAATCTGGGTCTAGAAACATTATCCAATAAAATGCAGTTTGAAAAAATAATCAAAAATGACTTTTGAATATGAAGGACAAATTATTAGTATTGCTTAATATGTCTGTATACCTTTTTAGTCAGAAGACTGGATATAAAATTTAAATAGAAAAATCCTATATCATCCAAAAGCATACACAAGTCAAAAGTCAGTGTTAAAGGGCCGGCCCGTGGCTCACTCGGGAGAGTGTGGTGCTGATAACACCAAGGCCCCGGGTTCGGATCCCATATAGGGATGGCCAGTTAGCTCACTGGCTGAGAGTGGTGCTGACAACACCAAGTCAAGGGTTAAGATCCCCTTACCGGTCATCTTTAAAAAAAAAAAAAGTCAGTGTTAAAGAGCAGAACATTTCTTGGGAATAATTTAACAATCTATTGAAAATTGCCGGGCCGGCCCGTGGCTCACTTGGGAGAGTGCGGTGCTGATAACACCAAGGCCCCGGGTTCGGATCCCATATAGGGATGGCCGGTTCGCTCACTGGATGAGCATGGTGCTGACAACACCAAGTCAAGGGTTAAGATCCCCTTACCGGTCACCTTTAAAAAAAAAAAGAAAATTGCCAATAACCAAAAACTCCATTTCTAGGAATTTCTGAAAAAGAAATACTGGCGAAAGTGTGATATCTAACTGGTTATTTTTATTTTCTACATTGTATTTTTCATAAGTACAGATACATTTAAACAAGAAAAATAACAGCATTCTACATTTAAAATGAAATTGCTGTGGGTAGGCCATTAATGTAAGTCCATGGCTTTATATGTTTTTATTACCACGAAAAAGAAAGAGAAGCAAGGAAGGAGGGAGAGAGAAAATGAATCAGAAAAACAAATTTTACAAAAGACAAAACCATAAATAACCCTGTAAGATAACTCTGAGGAAGAGATTTTAACTTCTCTTTTTGTTAATGAGGAAAGACACAGGGCACACATATCACACAATGAGCAAAAGGCAGAACCAGGATTGAAAACACAGGTTCATTTCATTCCAAAATCCACTTTCTTCCACTTTACACCTAGCCAAAATTATTTGTAAGTAAGGTATCTGCTTATTAAGTAAACAAAGTAAGCAACTAAACGGCTATATTAGTAGAATACTCGTGATATGATTGCAGAATTATTTAGAGAAATGACATTGATGTCAGCAACTTAGAAATGCACCAAAATCAACAACAAAAAAGGACTGTTTCATGAACAAAGGGATGGATAGACACTTCAGTAATTGGTAGAGATAATCTAGTAGAATGTTAATGTAAAATCTAGGTGACAGGCATATGAGTGAATAATTTTAAACTTCTCTCAATATTTCTATAGGTTTGAAAATTTTCACAGTAATGTGTTGGGCAGAGAGAAAAACACTAATATAAAGAATTTGGGCCGGCCCGGTGGCGCACTGGATAGTGCGCCGCTTGGGAAGCGCGGCGGCGCTCCCGTCCGAGGGTTCGGATCCCACATACGGACCGGTTCCTGCTCACTGGCTGAGCGGGGCGTGGGAGCAACGCCGAGGGTTGCAATCCCGTTGCCGGTCCCCGGTCTGGTACGGGGGCAACACTGAGGGTTGCGATCCGTTGCCAGACATGGAAAAAAGACAAAAGACAAAAAAAAAAAAAAAAGAATTCAGTTAAGGTGGCCAAATATAAATATCTAAAATTAATTGCTCTTTTGTTATAAAAAATTATAAGAAAAGGAAAGTCATATAATAATAACACATTGCCATAAAAGTAAATAGTCTAGAGATGAAAGGCAGGAAAACAAGTCCATGGGTGTTGTCGACCAGTACCCTGAGGGGAAACAGTGGGAAATGAGGAAAGACATGATGTATTTTATGGGATCAGAAGTACCCTGCAGGCTGCTGGCCTGCAAGGCATCTTAGTCGATTTTAGGTTCCTTTTTATAAGCCAATGAAAATAACAAATCGCACTGATTAAATCAATTATATCTGGTACCAAGCTATTTATATAGAACAAAACATTTTCAGCTGCCACAGTGCTTGAAGATTCATAGCTAACTACTTATCAACAAAATAAGAACATAAGTTTCTCATTTACAAAGCTTCCAGGGTCCTGGGTTCAATCAAAGGTCAGACCTCAAAGAGAGGGAGAAGGGGGAAGTAGGCAAAAGGGGTGCCAGCCTTGCTGGCTTTCCTAGAATAGCAAGGACTTTGTCAACTTGATTATTCCGTACCCCACATATGGGTAAATGCATAATCATAAAATGTTCCTACAAATAATACCAAATAGGGCTGGCCAGTTAGCTCACTTGGTTAGAGTGTGGTGCTAATAATACCAAAATCAAGGGTCCAGATCCCCTTATTGGCCAGCCGGCCAAAAAGAAAAAAAAAAATTTACCTAAATATTTTAAAACATTTCACTTTTATCCAAATGTATGCATACACTTAATGCAAAACTACTCATAAGACCACCGGTTCAAACATTAAAAATAATTTGTGTTTATCACAAGAAATGAAGTGGAAAAAAAAGAAAATCCTAGCACCATTTACATAATCTGAATTATGAATATTAAGTACATAACAACACAAACCTAAAACTGAAATATTCCAAAAATTTGACAAGTGTTATCATTGAGTAACAAAACTTACCATGACAGAGATGTCATTTTACTTGTGTCAGAAAGAACCTGAAAAGAAAAATCCAAGAGGAATATGCTGCAAACTTGCAGGACAAAGGGTAAGAAACACATCTTAAATATAAAAATGTACTACTTTTAGATATCCCGGATCAATGATCTCGCCAAAAACTTTTATTTCTGAGGATTCAAGAGTAAGGGGTCTTCAGTGGGACCCTATCAGGAAAAAGAAGAAGAAGAGACGTATGGGTGATGTAGGGTGCCAAAGGGGACTTGAAGTCGTGGAGAAGGGTCTTGTACCTAAAGAGTTGAAGGGGACTGTTAACGCGCATCAACCCTGTTCCTGCATCCAAGATTTGAGCTCGACCCACCACCAGCCTTGGTACTCAAACCTACAAAGTTGCAGCCCACACGCACATCTGTACCACAAACACTTACACCACCACCACGGTTAATTCTAAAAGCTGGACCAGAAGCTCCTGTACATTAAACCCCGAAACAGTTCCTCGATCATTCAGCTCCAAACAAAACCAGAACCATCTACCGCATTCGCTGACAAACACAGCCCCCAGTTCGCCCTACAGACAGAGCAAGCAGCGAAGACACAAAATGTGACCTTGGCGCTCAGTGGTTGACCTCTAGAGATCACACACCACAAGAGCACTCCGTAACTGATGCCAAAGGCACCCCGACCACACCCTATCACGGACTCCTTAGAGGTCCCCTGCAATAGAGAATCCACCCGCGCGGTCCTCTCCACGGAATACCACTTGCGTCACCAAACGCAAACGTCGACAAACCCCGCCCCTCACCATTGTCCGCGAACAGACTCAGCCGCCGACCTGATTTCCTCCAGACACCAAAGCGACCCGCCGGTGGCTGGACGTACCTCCCCGAACTTGGTCTGCTCTGGCCTCATCTCTCACCTTCTTACCGCCCTACGGTGGCGAAGGAGGGTCAGAGACGTAAAGACAGCCGGATTTCTAGGGTTTACTCAGAGGCAAGATGGCAGCGCCCTTGTCGCCGTGGCCCCGTGGGGGTGGCCATCTTTTAGTATCTGACGTACAGAAGGCAAAGTGGCCGTTATTGTTCTAGCGACCAGGGATGGCTGGGAAGGTGAAAGGTGATTGAAACTGTCCCATTTCCTGACACCTCAACCCTTAAAAAAATGGGTCGACGTGTATTAGGCCCCAGCTTACACAGGACAAAAATGGCGTGTGAACTGAGTAGAAAAGATGGTGGCGACATTTAACCATTTTGTACGAAGCTGGGAAACGGCCCAACGGGCGCAACCATCTTACAGGAAGTTGAGGTATCCGGGCAGCACAGAAAACGCTTTAGGGCAGTGGAAACTGCCGACAGAGGATCGTTCCGCGGAATTTCTATCAGAAAGTGGCTTGAAGTGACTTTTGAATGTAAAACAAGGTTTGGAGAAGCTCTGTCGATCCAAGGATGGCGATCATAAACTAGGAAATGAAAGTGGCTGGAAGGCGCCAAAGTTACGTCTGGGGGTGAGGCACAGGGGACAGGCCACTGAAGCCCTGCAAAAGCCAGAGAGGTTCAGTAGGTGATATGAGGGGCGGAGCCTATGACGGGGGCGGGGCTTCTCCCTGGGGGCGGCGAAAGACGAGGGCAGGACTCTGAGGCCCAGTGGCCCAAAATTAGGGAAACAGGACAACTTTAGGGAGAATAAAAGGGTGTTTAAGAAAAAAGAAAGAGAAAGAAATCATTTTGTTCTTGTGTGTTAACTGCAAATAGTGTCTACAAAGTCACAGTAATGCAAATATGGATCCATAAAGATGGATCAAACCGAACTGTAACTAACTATATTGGAAGAATGGGGGGAAAGGAAAGGAAATACCTGTGTGAGTATGTGTGTGTGTATGGTATAAAAATAGATATCGGTATATAGAGAGGAAAAGAGAGAGATTGTCAAACTGTCCTGTTTTCTAGAATCGATGTACTATTTTCTATTACCACCATCTGTATAAGAGATCTACTTTCCCACGTCCTCGTTATCATTTGCTATAAAGAGGTCTTAAAAGGAATAAGAAAAAGGTGACCAACCTAATTTTTTTAAAAAATAGCTAAATGAAATGAACAGGCCAGTTTTAAAAAATTGCAAATGCTCATTAACAATTTTTTCAATACCAGCCTTACTAATAGTTAAATAAATGCAAAGTAAATGTGAAATAAAAATGTTTTAACCCTTAAGATTAATAAAGATTGAACGATAAATAATACTCAGAGTGATGAGGCCATGAGATAAAAGCATTCTATTATGCTAATCTTCTAATTCTTATTTTTCCCATCTGCATAGTGGATAATAGCATTGTCCACCACATACAGCTTTAAATATATGGAGATGCTGTTATCATCATGCTTGTCATAGTTTGAAGTTCTTAAGCATTATATCTGGTGTATTTTTAGGGGGTAGGGTTGAGTCTAGAGTATATAAATTAGTAAAAATTTTTTGGAGTCCAATCTAGTATTACCTATCTTAACTTTTCATTGTCTTTAAGCCTCCAAATTTAAGAATTGATTCAGGAGAGGGGCTGGCTGGTTAGCGCAGTTGGTTAGAGTGTGGTGCTGCTAACACCAACGTCCAGAGTTCGATCCCTACGGGCTAGCAGCCCCCCCCCCACCAAAAAAAAATAAAAAGAATTGATTCGGTAGAAATTAACTTTGTGAGAACAGTACGTGCAAGGATATTTTGACAATCATAAAGAAATAACGTTGTGATTGTTTCATAAACTTATTCTTGCATCTCTGCATTCCCATCTTTGGTTAGTATCTTCCTATAGTGACTCTGAACAATGAGTCCAATGGGACAGTAGCAAGTATAACACAAAGGACAGAAACAGGCTTGCTTGGATGGGAGAAACAGGAATTAAGACTTGTTCTGTTTGTCTCTTGGAGCTCCTCTAATATGTTGTGATAGAGACCAAATTAGCTTCTTGCAGGATGAGAGACTGTGATGTTATATTTATGTAGTGGTTTTCGTACACAGTTTCATACTACTCTCTGACTTTCTGCTGCCCTCCTTTCACCTGCTGTGTTTTCTCCCCAAAGCAGGAAATTCTCTCACCTACTTAGCTGACTGTAGGTTATAAAACCCCCATTTCAAGAGGTGTCCTGCCCCATACCTGGGAGGGAGGAATGCCACACAGAGGCCAAGAAGAATCTGAACAAACAGGCCTTGCTGGGTTTCCCCACCTAGTCTATTAGTATTATACCTTTTTTGCCCAATCACATTTCTACATTGTGGGGTACTGAATAAGCAAGCTGAAAAAGTCTTTGCTATTCTAGGGAAGCCAACAAGGCTGGCATCGCTTTTGCTTACTTCCCCCTTCTCCGTCCCTTTGAGGTCTGACCTTCGATTGAACCCAGGACCCTGGAAACTTTGTAAATGAGAAACTTATGTTCTTATTTTGTTGATAAGTAGTTAGCTATGAATCTTCAAGCGCCATGGCAGCTGAAAATGTTCAATAAATAGCGTGGTACTAGATATAATTGATTTAATCAGTACAATTTGTTATTTTCACTGGCTTATAAAAAGGAAACTAAAATAAACTGAGATGCCTTGCAGGTCATAAATAAACCATAAGATCCCATAAAATAAATTGTGTCTTTCTTCATTTCCCACTGTATCCCCTCGGGGCACTGGTTGACAACACTACATGGTTGTCCATGCTTCAATCATGCCTATGTAATGAAGCTTCCATAAAAACCTATAAGAACAGGGTTTAGGGATTTTCTGGATAGTTGAACACGTGGAGGTTCCTGGAGGGTGGCATGCCCAGGGAAAGCATGGAAGCTCTGCACCCTTTCCTTCATATCTTGCCCTATGCTTCTCTTCATCTGTATCCTTTGTTATATCCTTTATAATAAATAGGTAAACATAAGTATGTATTTCCCTGAGTTCTGTGAGCCGCTCAAGCAAACTAATAGAACTCAAGGAGGGGGTTGTGGAAACCCTGATTTATAGCTGATTGGTCAGAAGTTCCAGAGGCCTGGACTTGCAACTGGCATCTGAAGTGGGGGGCAGTTTTGGGGACTAGCCCTCAACCTGTGGGATCTGACACTATAGTGTCAGAATTAAATTGAATTAGAGGACACCCAGCTGGTGTCCACTGGAGAATTGCTTGCTTACTACTGGGGAGAAATCCTCACACATTTGGTTACAGAAGTCAGAAATCTGTTTTCTGTGTTTATTGTTGCTGAGTATGAGTATAGGGAAAACACTGTTTTTTAATATATACTCAGAGATTATGTGAATAATGATTCCATCTGTTTGAATGGAGGCTCAGATATGTAAAAGATATCTAGACCATGCAGCCCCAGTCTAGATCCAAACTTCAACTCACACAACTGAGAGAATAAATGTTTGTTATCTTTAGATATTATTTTAGGGAGGTTTGTAATGCAGTAAAAGATAACATACCAGGGCCATCCCATGGCTTTCTTGGGAGAGTGTGGTGCTGATAACACCAAGGCCACGGGTTCAGATCCCTATATAGGGATGGCCAGTTAGCTCTCATGGGAGAGCGTGGTGCTGACACCACTAAGTCAAGGGTTAAGATCCCCTTACCGGTCATCTTTAAAAAAAAAATATATATATATATATATATATAATACCAATATGAATGTACATCAGTAGGTGATTTGTTAAATAAATTACTGGACATCTCTTCATGAACATTATACAGACTTAAGCATAAAGGACAATTTCAGTATAAATGACAAAAAGTGATTATATTGTTGAATTGAGGAAAATTGGAACAAGTTGCATGAGAACAGTGTGCACAGTATGAACATAGAATTTTTAAAAATATAAACATGTGCAATACAAAATCTTCAATGGATATAGAACCAAACATAATTTTGGTTATCTTTTGGGATTCAGATTTGAAAACATATCAGGAGTTGTCAAATCCCTAGTTTCTACAATTCTGAATGGGTCAAGTATTATATTGTTTTGTTATTTGACAAAAATCAGGTCAATTTTTGTCCATTTTTTCCTCTTTGGTTGAAACTTCAGCTATGAAATTATCCAGCATAAAGGATAAAAAGAAAACTATTGGGGAAAAAAATGAACAATCTTTTTTTTCAGAAATCTGTGGGACGTCAGTCACGTCAACATATGTGTAATGGGATTCCCAGAAAGAAAATTAAAAAGGGAAAAGAAGGCTGGCCAGTTAATTCATTTAGTTAGAGTATGGTGTTGATAACACCAGTCCAGGGTTCAATCCTGTTACAAGCCAGCCACCAAAAAAATGGGGGGGGGGATATTTGAATAGTAGCCCCAAACTTCCCAAATTTAGTGAAATACATTCATCTTCAGATCCAAAAAGTTCAACAAACCCCTTATAGGATAAACAAAGAGATCTACATATAGACACATCATAGTCAAATTTTTTTTTTTCTTTTGTCTTTTTCCGTGTCCGGCAACGGATCGCAACCCTCAGTGTTGCCCCCGTACCGGACTGGGGACCGGCAACGGGATTGCAACCCTCGGCATTGCTCCCGCGCCTCGCTCAGCCAGT